AAGAGCATGGAAAAAAATACTCATTTGCTAGGGCAAATTAAAGGAAAAATAAAGGTATACAACTTAAAAAGGTAACTTGAAGCCATAATTATAGCAGACTTAAATAAATCCAGACAAATACTAAATGTGGTGGGCACTAGAAAGTCCTGAGTTTTTGATAAATGACAAAGTCAGAGCTGGCAGCACATTACAATACAGACTGGAGAAGGGGTATGGCAGTGATAGAAGGTAAAAGGGCACTGCACCAATCGTGGCAGCAACCTAAACTGGGTAACAGTAATAGGAATGGACACAAGAGATAACAAAAGGGAGATGGTTTGGAGGTTACTTGCATTTGGTAGGGCAGGGACTCCACTGGAGAAGTATTAACATGACTTGGAGATTTTAAACCAGGTGCTTGGGAGAATGGTAGACAGAAGAAAAGGCTAGGTTTGGGTTATAAAGGGAAGTTGAGAACAGGCAGAGAAAATTGACCTTCAAAAGCAACATGTAAGTTTGAAATGCCCAAGGTAATTGGGAAAGATCATTTATAAGAGGAGTCAATCCCTATCTTCAAGAATTTAAAATCTGTAATCTGGTTACAGCTGGAGAACCCCCCTCCCCCCCCTGCAAAATAGTGTCTCAATCATTTGCATTAAAGCACACAAACTTCAACTTGCCCTTACTGTTTATTAAGTCATTCTAGTTAATCAATTAAGAAGAAATGTTAGAATTAAAGGCACAGTTGAATTATTGCCATTTGCAAGCCACTAATAAAATAATGGAGCTAGGGCATTTTGTTAATACAACAGAATGAAGGGGATAACCAAACATCATATGCCACACCATGTGATAGAAATACACACCACCACCTATGAATTATCTTTGCCCTCTCCCCCACCATCCCTCCTCTCAAGAAATCAAAGCTGAACTGATCTAAGCATGCTCAAATCTAGCTACCCATCTGCAGGAAATACAGGGGATTGGAGGACATGCTAACCTAGGACATGTTAAAACTATACCAGAAGGACACGTTCAACAAAATCCAGAATGAGGGAAACTGCAGGAAAAATAACCTGATTCCTTCAACAAATAAATTATGAGGAAAATAGAGAAAGGAGGAACCTTTACTAGTAGATTAAAAGACATACCAACCAAATGTAATGTGTGACCTTGTTTGTATCCCAAATAAAAAGAAACCAATTATTTAAAAACAATTTAGGAAAATTTGAACATCTCCTGTTTATTTGGTGATGCTAATTTTTAAAGGTGGGATAATGGTATTATGGTTATGATTTTTTAAGTAGTCATATCTTTTAGAGATATACTGAAGTATTTGTAGATGAAATAGGATTTGCTTTACAATAATCCAGTAGGCGTTGGAGGAGGGTTGAGTAGGTAGGAGTTTCATCCATACTCAGTTCTGCTTGAAATTTGCCATTATAAGTTGTTCGGAAGGAAAAAATAAAAAGCATCACTATCAATAACATCAACAAAAACAGAGGACAGGAATGGATTTGAGTTTTATTTCCAAGCCTTACAATCTGAGCAGCCCTGGGCTAGTCACACAACTTCTTAATGTCCCTTTGGTTAAATGGAGGCAAATACCACCTAATAAACTCATAAACTCCTATTTGTTCAAGCTAGAAACCTGAGAGATTTCTAATTTTTATTGATTTGAGAGCAAGGAAGGGAGAAAGAGAAACATCGATTTGCTATTTCACTTATTTATGCATTAATTGGTTGATTCTTATATGTGCCCTGACTGGGGATCGAAAACGCGATCTTGACATACCTGGACGATGCTCTAACCAACTAAGCTACCCAGCCAGGGCTGGGAGATTTAACTCCTGGTTTCCCCAGTCTCCCACTTCCAGTCCACCACTGAATCCTGTCTGTTTCCTCTCTCTTCCATTCTTCCACTACCATCCAACTTACCTATCACTGTGGTCTTAAAACACTCCAATAGCCTCCCTCCAACCCACATTGTGTAGAGTGATGTTCCAAAAATGCAAAGTCTGAGCATGCTGACTCCAGCCCCACTTACAACCCCATAAACTGCTTTCGATTGGATTTAAGACCAGAGTGGCTTCTTAAAATAATTATAAGGCTTTCCACTATCTGTTAGTGTCTACTTATCCAACTTCCCATCTCACCCCATTCTCTCTGCTCCCTCTTTAGGTTTGGTAAAATTCTTTCAGGTTTTCCAGTGCACCCTGTGCTCTGTAGCTCAGTACTTGTTTGGGAATGCTCTTTCTACCATCACTCTGTGGCCTGCCTAGCTCTGGTTTATCCTTCAAGTCTCAGGCTAAATAGCATCTGCTCCAAAAGGTCTACTCAGATTGCTTCTATACATACTAAGTTGGGTGTCTTGTCACACCTACACAACACAATATTTTTTTCCCATAGAAACCTGTACTTCCTCTGTCATAACAGTCAATAATTGTTTATAAAGAGTACTTGTAATTATCTATCCATATATATAAAAAGCCAACAGCCAGAACAACCAGTTGCTATGACGCCCACTAGGGCCAACAGGATCAGGGGCCAGCTGGCCAA